AATTTCTTCCCTGAGGTGATCAATGGATTCCTTCAATGCCTATTTTGCCCTCTGGTTCCAGGATATCATGGCAGTTTTCCTTGATAATTTCTTCAAGGATGCTATGCAGGTCCTCTTTTTGATCATGACTTTCAGGTAGTCCAATGATTCTGATATTGTCTCTCCTGGATCTATTTTCCAGATCAGTTGTTTTTCTCATGAGGTATTTTACATTTTCTTCCATTTTTAAATTCTCTTGAATTTGATTGATTCTTGATGTTTCATAGAGTCATTAGCTTCCACTTGCCCAATTATAACTTTTAAGGAGTTGTTTTCCTCAGTTAGTTTTTGCACTTTCTTTTCCAATTGGTCAATTGTACTTTTTAAGGAGATGTTTTCTTCAGTGAATTTTTTTTATCTCCTTTTCCATTTGGCCAACTCTACTTTTTTAAGCAGTTGTTGACTGCTGTTAACTCATTTTTCATAATTCTCTTGCATCACTCTCATTTCTTTTCCCAATTTTTTCTACCTCTCTTACATGATTTTTAAGCTCCTTTTTGAGCTGTTCCATGAGTTCTTTCTGGGCTTGATACCACTTCTCATTTTTCTTTGGGGTTTTGCCCACAGGTGTTTTGACATTGTTGTCCTCTTCTGAGTTTGTGTCTTGATCTCCCCTGTCACCATAATAAACTTTCTGTGGTCCTATTCTTTTTTGTTGTTTTTGTGCTCATCATTTTTGGCCTTTTTCCTTTCTTTTAAATTTGGCCTCTGCTCCCAGGGTGGGAGCCTATTTGAAGGCAGCTACCTGGGGCAGCTAGGTGGCTCAGTGGATAGAGCACTGGCCCTGAAGTCAGGAGTACCTGAGTTCAAATCTAGCCTCAGACCAAACACTTGACACTTACTAGCTGTGTGACCTGGGGCAAGTCACTTAACCCTAGTTGCCTAAAAAAAAAAATGAAGGCGGCTACCATATTTTTGCCTTTCTTTGTATCCTCAATGATTTACCATAGTGCTTGTCACAGAGTAAAGGCTTAACAAACACTTATTGACTGACTGGACTGCTTTATTTAATTTTACATTCATAGACCCTGAGATTTCCATTAACCTTACCAAGAATGGAAACCACAAATCCATCCTTGGATCAGCTTTATCCCATTTTTGTTTTAACACGTCCCCAAACTCTAGGCAATAAACTATAAAATTTTGTCAAATTTCTCTTGTCTACCCACAAATTTGTAACAAATATTTCTTCAGGAGGAATAGTTACATAATCTGGTGTTAAAAACTTGAGTATTTGGAATTTACCAAAACATACTTTGTCCACTGTCCAAAAGGTCAAGGAGAGAAGTTAAGAATGATAAGTAGAGAGAAAAGAGCTGCTGGTTGGTGAGAAACAAGAAACTAAGCATTTAATGAAGTTTCAAGTCGGAGCTACTTGTTTCCAGTGTATCTCCCTGCTCCAATCCATCTTCCAGTGCCAAAGTAATTTTCCTAAATTGTCAGTCGAATCACCACCCCACCCCATTCAGTAAATTCCAATGACTCTCATTTCATCCAGATTCAAATATTAATTTTTCTATGGGTTTTTAAAGCCCTTCACAACCTGGTTCCTTTCTACCTTTCCAGTCTTCTTACACTTTACTCCTTTCAAATAATCTACCATTCAGCTACATCCTTACCTACTGCTCTAGAATATGAATATGACACTCTCTCTCCAGCAATCCCTTGATCTAGCTGTCCTCTTGCCCAGAAAGGTCTCCCATATCTCTTAAACCTTCTAGTTCCCTGGCTTCCTTCAATGTACAGCTCAAATCCCACCTTCTACTTGAAGCCTTTCCTAGTCCTTCTCCATTTCCTCATCACTGTTAGTGCCCCTTTCCCTCTGAGACTACCTTCCCTCTACACTGTATATGTCTTGTATATACTTAGTTCTTTCATGTTTGTCATCTGTATCAGAATCAAAGCTTCTTGAGCACAGGGACCTTTTTGTTTTGTTTTGTTTTTATTTTTTGCATCCTCAATAATGCTTATTGACTGCTGATTGTCAGTGTACCAGCACAGTCCATCAGGCACCATCAGTGGCCTTTCTTTACTTGCCATCTGCCCCAATACCAATTATTGTCCAAGAGATGAATGTAGCAACTTAATGATTTATGATGTCAAGAGGCAACCTCACTTTATTCCTCTGGAACAAAGGACCAAAGGCTCAGTCCTGATTTAGTTTGAGGAAACATCTAGTTTTTTCTTCTCTAAAACTCAGGATATGGTCCTCCAGTAGAGAGTACTAGCATTATGAAAAAATAATTAATTTTATCTATATTGTTTTTAATAGTACTTCACTCACTAGGGATGATTTTAGCCAACATGACCTCATAGTAGCTGAATTGCATTGCCCAAAGTTGCCATAGGAACCTGGCTTCATCTCTACTTGAAATCCTGAAAGAAAGTGAGAATAAAGTGGGGAAGGAATGGGGGAGGGAGTGGTCAGTCACGAGTTAGGGTCGTCAGAGCTCCCCAGGAACAAATAAGACAGAAATTCTTCTGGGACAAAAATAGAAGGGTAATGACTGAAGGTTTAAGCTCAATAATAAGAAGGACACAGTCTTCAGAGTCAGGCCAAGGGAACCCTTCCAGGTTTCAGTTCATTCTAGCCCAAGGCATGTTTCACTGAGGGAGAGGGGAGGATGGAAAGCTTCTGAATTCATCCTTTCCAGAAGAGAGGGAGGAAGCTAGGAAGCAAGAAGCCTGTGCTGTGAAAATAGGCAAGACAACCAGGGAGGTGACAGACTTGCAATGGCCCTAGTACTCTTTATGAGAACACAAAGCAGTTTCCTTTTATTTTGAGGAAGGATTCCAAAAAAAGTCTCCTGTATATCTGTATCCCAAGAGAGAGGGCTATTTTGCTGAACTGAGTTTACTTTTCCTGCCATTATTTTTATTAGGGCCTGACTCTATAGCCCTTAGCCTTTCTCTAAAGAGGAGACTTTTAGCTACTACTTAGCAGTCATTGTAATTGGATTTTTAGCTACAATTTAGTAGTAGTTGTAATTGGATTGACTAATTCTGATCTTGGGAGCCTATGAAATATCCTGATTCTAACCTGGTCATGAAGTTGAGTGAGAAAATAAGAAGTCCCATATACTAGCTCTATGCAAGTGTAAAAGGCCTCAGAAAAACATAGGTCCAGGTTATCGAAGGGGTAGGTACCTAGACATCAAAATGGTATAGACTTTGTCTTGAGGTCAAGAAGAGGAAAATGTAAGTTTGACATTTTTTTAAACTCTGACCCTGAGAGGTCCCTTAACTCTTCTGTGCTTTGGTTTCATCTATAAAATGGGGACAGTAATGGAACCTTCCAGAGTTGTTATACTGCGGTCCTAGTGGTGGTATCTGGCATGTTGTGTGGTATAGCTGTCCAAAAATAACACTCAGAGATTTTCTAGGTATAAAGTGAAAGATTTGTTACATTCTCGTGAGAAGCGGGTGTCTGCTTCGTCTGGCAGTCTGAGTGAAACAAGGCAAAGCACAAAGGCCAGGACAAAGGTTATACAGTCCTTACGCAGAGATACCCATCCACCAGTCGCTTTGAATTCCCGTTGGACAGGAATTTCAGTCTTACAATCTGAAATGCGAAAATCTACACCAGAAACAAGAAACCATATTATAATACTACCAATCCTAGCTATTTATCCTCGTTTAGTAATTAGCCATTACCTAATGCCGATGTAACAATACAAATCATGTGATTTCTAGGAACCTGAAACTTAGGCTTATTCAGGTTAGTGTAACCAATCTCGAGTTAGCAACAGTCTAAGACATTGCTACACTCAGTCCATCTGAGAGATCTCACATTGTTTACATTGCTTTACTCAGTTAAAAACCAGAGTCTTGACAAAAGTTTGCAAAAAGGAGAGATGTCTTTATTGACTTTCTCGAGAAAGTGCACCCCTGTGCTGCCTAAGCTGCCCCGAGAGTGCGAGCGCTCTTTGTTTAAGGCAAGATTATATAGACCCTAACGCAGCAGCCCACCCTAACCCCCTTCCCATTGGCTCATTGACTGAGCCTCAGGTATACAATCTATTCGTGTAAAAACTACGCCAGTAACAGAGAGAACAAAGAGGTACAGAAATTATGTTAGCATGTTCCTCTTTTCAGGGCCTCACAGTTTCAGCAGCCTTTTACCCAAGGTCGTATAACTAGCTAGAGGATGAGACAGACAGGATGCTCTTATGGCTCAGGAATTTCTGCTAACACTATTTAAGAGTAGGGGAGAGAGAAGGCTAGGGGAGGGGGTCTTGTATTCTGAGGGGTCTTCACTTAGTGTTGGTACACACGTACCACTCAAAAGCAACAATACCAGAACCATTAACAAGAACTAATGACCCCTTTGAGGAGGCTTCACTTCTGAGAGATCATCTCTCACAATGTGCTGAGGCCTGGTGAAGTTTTTCTGCATATCTCTGGGGCTACCCTGTGAAGCGCATGGAGGTCTGGCCACTGTGGGGTGCCTGTTTGCCCTGGGCACGTGGTTCTCAGCGCTGGAGTATGCCAGCTCCCCTAGCTATGCTAAGGCATGGGGGATGGGGTCCTGGTGTTGGCATTTGCCAGCCCCACCACACTGGGCCTCAGGATCTCCTGCTAGTTTATTGAGGTGGGGTTTGCTGAGAGGCTTCCTTTTCTGGAACGTATTCTCCTTTTACCCAAGTGAGATAGACCTTTCTTGCCGATCATCTGAGTCTCTCGGGCTAAAATAACTGCTCCACCTCTTCTTTCCATTGGCTCTGCTATTCTAGGATTTGCCATCGATCCCTAAAAGGAGTGGGTATTACCTGAAGGTTAGGAAATGGGTGAGGTTTACTGGCAGATTTTAGAGAGAACAACTGACATCTTTGGTTGTGATATTACATAGTAGCTTTAATATATCTTTAAAAAGGAGGATTTTCAATGATTTACATATAATATACATGTATACACAAACAGGTATATATACACACATATGTGTGTGACATACACATAGCCACTCTCACAATTGCCATTTTCCTTTTGCAGTCATTTTTGCCTATATGATAAGTGTAAATAGAATCAAATTTTCACAAAATCAAAAGATGGATATGTAGTCATAGGGCCCAATGAAGAAGGGGAACCACATATCTATCCATAGGTACAGTAGGAAAGATGGTTTATTTCAGAGTCAGAGAATGTAGGTAGATTCAAATAGCATCTACTACCTGTATGATATTAGGCAAATAACTTTTCTCCCCCAGGTCTCAGTTTCTTCATCTCTGAAATGAAAAAGGGTCAGACTTGAAGTATAGAATCAGATTATTCCTTTTACCCGCCTTATCATAAGATATACCCAATTCATCATGACTTGGGCCAAAATGTTCCCTCAGGATAAATAAGGGATCATAGAAGCATGGATGATGATCTGAGTCCTATGTATGCCAGAAGGTATTGTGCCTTCTTTCTACATAGCTCCTTTTTGGAATATGTTAATTCATTTATTTTAGGTTTTAACATTCACTTCCATAAGATTTTCAGTTCCAAACTTTCTCCCCATCTCATCCCTCCCCCCACCCCAAGACAGCATGCATTCTGAATATCCCTTCCCCTAATATGCCCTCCCTTTTCTCACCACCCCCTTCTCTTATGCCCTTCCCCTTCTATTTTCCTGTAGAGCAGGATAGATTTCTATACTGCATTGCCTGTATATCTTATTTCCCAGTTGCATGTGAAAACATTTTTTAACATTTATTTTTAAAACTTTGGGCTCCAAATTTTCTTCCTTCCTCCCTTCCCTCCCACCCTCATTGAGAAGGCAAGCAACTTGATACAGGTTATACATGTGTAGACATGCAAAACACTTACATAGTAGTCATGTTTTGGAAAACTAACTACATTTCTCTTCATCCTATCCCACCTCCCCCCACCCCGTTTATTCTATGCTCTCTTTTGACTGTCCCTCCTCAGAAGTGTTTGCTTCTGATTACCCCCTCCCCCAATCTGCCCTCCCCTTTATCATCTCCCCAGTCTCTTATCCCTTTTCCACCCTATTTTCCTGTAGGGTAAGGTAGATGTCCATACCCAACTGAGTGTTTTATGTAGCTCCTGCAGGGCTTCTGTGAGAACCAACAGGAATTTTACTGTTTGTTATAATTTCATCACAGCTTGTGTTCACTGAAGCAAAAAACTTGCTGTCCTCATCATCATTTGCCCCTTAGTACCCCTTCTTCTGCTCCCCTCCAATAACTAGTGTCCTAGATTTTAGTGGGGCTGTTTTTTAATGGCTGAACTAAGTTTACTTTTACATATAATATTTTTGTTGGGGATTCTATTTTTCTCAGTAGTCCCCTGTTAGAGAAGCTTTTAGCCATCACAATGTTTTAGATTGATCAGTCATGATCATAGGAACGTTTGAAATATCTTGGGTCTAGATCTTTATGAAGTCCTATGAGATGGTAAGAAGTCTCATATTATCAGGTTAATGAAGGTAGAAAAAAGTTCAGTCAAGAGTCAGGTTCAATAAAAAGTTCCCTGGGGGTAAATGGTAAACCATTTTGGCTTTGGACTTTGGCTTGCATGTCAAGGATCGGAGAAACTTTTGAACTGTATGACACTTCCACTTAACTTTTCTGAGCTTCAGTTTCTACGTTCCTAAGATAAAGATGGCAAAAGCACCAATCTCCGACTGTGGTTGTGATGATCAAATGGAATATAATATGTACAATTACATTCCAATCTTTAAAGCATTATATAAGTCCAGGGCCCATAGCCTTGAGCCTTTCTTCTGTCTCACCAGCAATCTGGACCAGGTTTAGCCTCTTCAGGGGTCCCTAAAAGTGGGTGTAGAGGCAGCTGATGGCTCAGTGGATAGAGCACTGGGCCTGGAGTTAGGAAGACCTGAGTGCAAATATGGCCTTAGATACTTGCTAGCAGTCAGAGCAAGTCACTTAACCTCCAATTGGTTGACAATTGGCTAAGAATGGATCCATTGGAGAAGGAAATGGCAAAGGCCTGTAGTATCGTTGCTAAGAAAACCTGAAATGAGGTCACAAAGGGTTGGGCATGACTGAAACAACTGAATAACCACAAAAAATGTATGTTTATGTGTGTGTGTGTGTGTGTGTGTGTATCCTCAGACGTTAGCAAGCAGATGGAATGTGTTGGGAGGGTTTATACAGAATGATTAGGTAAGATCCCTAGTTGTGTTATTTCAAAATGGCTTTAGAAGCATTTTCAAGAAATTCTTTAAAAAATTAAAATTATCTTTAAATGGACACAACAAATTTGAGTATATTGAAGAGATGAAGTATGGCATAATGGGGTAGAGAGAAGGCTCACAAAAGGAAATCAACACTAGAGACTCTAAAATAAAAATATGCTAGAAGACATACTCTTTTACATACAGTGTGTAATGAGATGGTCTTTTACATTGTAGTGAGCAATGAGATGCCTAGCGAGGGTGTTATAATTGCTTAGGGCAGGACGCTAAGAAAAATAGTGGCCATAAATTAAGGACAGATGAAATATAAAAAAATGGGTCTTTTATTGCTGGTTCCCCATTAGAGTTGGCTCAGAGTTGCCTGATGAGGAGAACAGTCAGATTTATGGTCAAATCTTTGTATTTCACCTGCCATGGTCAAAGAAATTTGCTATGAAAGGAGGAGGATCAGTATCGTTCTAACAACATCAATCCTATTTCATCAGGACCAATTTCCTCAGCTCTATTTGATTTGAGGTAAAACTGGGACAGCTAATCTTGTGCCAGAGTTCCATATTATTAAAAGGGTTTCATTGCCAGGCTCATAACCTACTAAACCCACTAACAGATTTCAGTATATATAATAAAAACATTCCACATTAAGTAGATTACACCAGTCATATTTAATCTCTCATTCCTGTCCAATATGCCATATGTTTCTGCAAATATTTATCTCCTTTTTTGCATTTCTAACATGAGCAGAGTTAGGGATATAAAGAAAAAATATATCTTTTTAAAACTTTGAAACTTTTGATAGAAAAGTTCTTTCTCTTTTTGCCCTTTTTGCTCTTGGTTGATCAGGCCATCAGAAAAAGATTAGCTGGAAATATCAGAACACAAATGTAAGATGCTTACAGCATATATTCTTCATAAAAACAAAGAAAAACACAACCTAGATTTCCTCTCCCTAGAGTTTTAGGGGAGGAAATATTTTAATTTAGTTCTAAACTCTCTCTCCAGGGAGGAAAAGAGGGACTGCAATACTCAAGGTTCAGGGCAAGACTTAGTCCCACTGTGGTAGCAATCAGAGAAGACAGAATTCTATCATTGAGACATACGGTGACCATCCAACTAAAGAATACTAGGCTAAGATCCCACCATTGTGCGCATCCAGGGCTATGTTTGTGCCCCCAAACCCTTCAAGTTTCAACTCGACATAAACACCATGAAAGAACTCCAAATGCTTCATTCACAAGTTTCAACTTTCAGAAAAGAGCCAAAGTGGCACCCTCACATTGTCCAGAACACTGACCAAATGCCACTGATTTAAAAACATCAAACATTGGTGGGTCATAGGACAAAACAATGAAAATATTAAATACTTATTTGTGCAGCAAAGCACAGGCTTCTGTGATAGGATGTACTGACCGCCATTCTAGCAACTGAACTCCAAGTTCATCATGATTCAATTATGCCAATAGGGCTAAAACCACCTGCACTTCATGTCCCAAATACTGGCTGACTACAATAGCTATGCTCCCACCAACATTCAACCCCACGTCCAAAATCACTACTACACTTGGAACCATAGGTGACCACCAAGAGGGAACCTTTTTATATATCAGATACTGAACTGAGTGTTCCTCTATAATCAAAATATGCATTTCCCTGCCTTCACTCACGTAGTCTCTTCTTCATTAGGAATCCTGATCCATTTCCCACCAAAAGGATTTATGGAAATTACTATTGTGAGATTTTTTTCAGCTGCCCACATTTACACAGTATCATCATGGGAGCAAGGTAGCCATGATTCTAGATATGAGCCAGCTCTCTGAATCAATCATCTAGATGGGACATGACTAAAACATCTAGTGATAGCTATAAAGTTCCCCAAGCCTTGTTAGAGAGCACTAATCTTTGCTTTTCATTAAGGCAAAGGATATGGCTAAAACTTGGTCCACCTCAATTCCAAGAACACTTCAGTCTTACCTTTACCAAGATGCCCTGACTTGAGGATGAGGACAATTTACTACAGATTTACAATCTTCCATTTAATATTCAATGGAACCTCTGAGGCTGAGATGCAACTGAGCGTGTATCAGTTCTCTACTGCTTGTGCTAATTTCGGTCTGACAATTAACACCGAGAAAACAAAAGTTTTCCACCAGCAAGCACCACACCATCTATATGTGGAACCACTGGGTTACAGCAAATGGAGAAATTTTGAATGTTGTAGATAAGGTCACTTACTTTGGCAGTATGCTTCCCAGGAATGTACACATAGATGATGACATTGATGCATACATTGCCAGAGCTATTAGGAGGTTCCAAAGGACAGTGTGGGAAAAAAGAGGTATTAGGCTGGCTATCACACTGAAGGTGTATAGAGCCATTGTGCTGACCTCATTGTTGTATGCCTGCGAAAGCTGGATGGTTCACCAGAGCCATTCCAGGAAACTGAATTGCTTCAATTTGAATTGTCTTAGGAAGATTCTGAAGATCATTCAGCAAGATAAGGTACTGGACCCTGAGGTCCTTTCTTGAGCTGAACTGACAAACATTCAAACTCTACTGCAGAGAGAATAACTCCAATTGGCTGGCCCTTTTGTTTAAATGGCAAACGTTCATTTGCCTAAAAGACTATTTTACGGTGAACTCACACAAGGCAAGCGCTTACTCAGAGGTCAGAAGAAATGAAACGAGGAAACTCTCAGGATCTCTCTGAAGAACTTTGGAATTGATTGTGAGATGTGGGAGACACTGGCACAGGACCACCCAGCATGGTGTGCCCTTGTTAGAGAAGGTGTTATGCTCTATTAGCAAAGAAGAATTTCAGTAGCTCAAAAGAAAGGTGTGATGCACAAATTGAGAGATAGCTCTACTCTAAATGTTCACATAGATTATTTGTGCCTGACCTATGGCAGAACCTTCCAAGCTTGTTTTGGTCTGATCACCCATGAGTCGGATACACTATACCTTGACCCCAACATAGTAATGTCCTTTTGGTTCTTTCTGGGCATGAAGAACAACAACCACATGCAATCTTCCAAAGTGTGCACTGAATTTCCATTGAGACTAACC